CCCTCCTGTTCTGCCTCTCATGTGATTGCGCCTGTTGCTCGCGCTCAAGGGGTTGCTGTTCATTTTGAGGCTGCTCGACCCTTGCTTGTTCGATCCTGGGCCACTCGACCCTTGGTTGTTCGACTGGCGTCTGTTTGAGTTGGGCCGCTACTGCCTCCGCAATCATTCTCTGCATCTCGCTTCTCGTCACGGTCAGCGTTTGTTCCTCGACTTGGAGCGGTGGCCTTGTCTCCTGATCAGGTTGCCCAGGTTGCCTCCCCAACCTTAAAGATATTTCGGTCGATGCGTGACCATCCACTTCTCCGCTCGTGTCCTTCACGTGACTGGCCTCCCCCTGGGTGAGAACCGGGACCTTGACTATGTGTGGGGTAATAGGCGTCTCCTCTCCGATACGCCCTCCTGACGGCGCGTGTGCCCCAAAAGGTGGGAATACCAGCACCTGGAGTGGTGGTCTAAGGCTGGGAATCGGCGGAGGTCGTTTGTCAGTCCATGTTGCCCTGAAGTCTTCATTCAAGTTTTTCTGCACTCCTTCCTTCTCAGCCATCGGAAACAGATCAAAGCTAGGTGTAAAGCTCTTAATTCCTTCAAGAACTCCCCACAGACGACGCCAAATGATGGGTCTATTTCCGGATCTGGGGTGAACCGGTGGAAAATCACCCGGATCTGGAATGAACCGATGAGAACGAGCTCAGATCTGTCCTGATGGTCTCCAAATTGCTATCGAACCACAAGAACACCTACAATAACTCAACGCCGGAGGGATTTCCGGCGTAGAGCCTCCGACGCTCAAGTCAGTATATGAAAGAGATGAAGAGAGCTGCTCTGAGAGCAGCAGCCGTAATGAAGAGAATATGGAATCAATGGGAGTTAGGGTTTTGGGATTACCTCAGTCCTTTATATAGAAGTGTAAAATTTACCTGAAGTCCCCAAAGTGCCCCGGCTGACTTAGTGGAAATGTCCAGAATACCCTGGTCGGTTCGTATTCTGCCTACTTCCTAGTCAGCATCTAGATCCTTCCTTAGCTTCCTTCTTATCCTTAACTCTCCCTCAATACGCTGAGGTGTATCAAAGCTATCGAGAACTACGAACTGCAAAACTCCTCCAGTCGACCTGAGATACCGAGTCGAGTCGACTGGATCGCATTCAACCGTTAGCGGATCCTGATACGTCTGACCATCGTCTTGGCAGAAATCGACTTATGCTAGTCGACAGGTATACGTCGACTCAGTCGAGAGCCGGGATCCTTGACTGTGAGTATCGTGGAGCCTTACTGGTGGAGTCGACTTTGTTAAAGTCGACTTGATAGTTTCGAACCGTGATGAAACGGACCGTTATGAGCCAGTGTGGCTATATCAGAGTCATTGGACCTTGGAAAATTTCGAGAAAAACGGTCGCTGGAGTTCGTAAATAGAGAAATATAGAAAAGTGGGAGCTTCGGTCGCCTGAAAAGGTACCCAACTAAAGGAATCAATAGTATATGACAAGAAAAGTGCAAAAAATACTAACCGAAAACTCAGTGGGTGCTCGATCGCCGGAAAAAATGGTCGTCGGAAAAGTTCACCGGATCCGGCGACGGTGGCCGAAAAAAGGTGGGCCTCGGCGAGAGGAGTCCGGGGGTGCCTTCGGGTTTCGGTGGGTCCATGTGAGTCGCCGGCATTGAATTTGAAGGTTGAAGAAATTTGTAGATCTACGAGCTTTCGCCGGAAAATCGGAAGTCTTCTCGCTGGAATTTTTCATTGAGGCTCAGATATGTTGACGGTGTTGATATAAGATTCATCACGATCAGAGAAAGTTGGCCGAAAAAGGTGTGGGTCGGGCGCGCACGGGTTGGGCTGCTGAGTGGGCTCGCGAGCACGCGTGGGTGGTGGCGGGCGCCGAACGTAGAAGCTGAAAGTTGGGGGTGTTGGGATTCTCGAGCTCGCGGGCTGGGTGGCGGGCACGCGAGTGTCGCTCTCGAGCTCGCAGAAATGGCCGCGGGCGCGAAACTAAGAAGCTGGAGTTGGGGGTGTTGGGACTCTCGAGTTCGCAGGCTGGGTGGCGGGCACGTGAGTGTCGCGCGCGAGCTCGCGGAAATGGCCGCGGGCGCGGAACTAAGAAGCTGGAGTTGGGGGTGTTGCGCTCTTCAGGTTGCGGGCTGGGTGGCGGGCACGCGAGTGTGCTGCGCGAGGTCGCGAGGTGCGCCGCGGGCGCGCGAGCGGGGCTTAGGCTCCCTTCTTCTATACTTAGCCATATTTTGCTATTTTCGCCCAAATTTTCAACTTGACTCAAAAACACTATAAATATTCGATTTCGCTCAAACCATTTTTTTTTTTTGGGCTCGGCTTTAACAAGTCGGGATTGCCGAGCAGGTCGGCACGAGCTCTCGATTTTTTTTTTAAACGAAAAGAAGAGAAAAAGGAAAATAAAAACGTGGGTTGCCTCCCACGAAGCGCTCGGTTTAAAGTCGTGAGCTCGACTCTCCCTTCAATTAAAATTCAACCGGGCACAGCTCGACGAGCTCCTCCAACCTCACTCTCGAGCTCGTCATCGAACACATTCGCTCACCTACTTCTCGGGGATACCGAAAGTTTCTTCTTCAACTCCTCACCCCTTCCAAACTTCACTCCATTTTTCGTGAACTTCCAACCCTCGAAATTCACATCACCTCTCAAACTCGGCGGGCTTCCTCCCGGTTTTCCTTTTCCATTCTTATGCTTCTTTTTTGGCTCCTTACCATTTCCAACATCATTTTTCTTACTCAAAACCTCAAGTTTCACTCCAACTCCGAAATTTTCATTCATACACGATTCAACCATCTTCAACTTCTCCTCAACACGATTACAATTAGCAAATTTAGAATGAGAATCGGGATGTACCTCTTTGTCGATATCCTTCATAAACGAGCATTGGCCAACTTTGGGTGGAGCTTCCCGGGAATTGTTCATCGTGAAAGTAGCCGTCTCTCCATGAGCCGAAAGAGTGACTCGTCCATCCTTGACATCGATAATGGTGTTGGTCGTGACCATGATAGGTCGTCCAAGCAAAATAGTGTGTTCCTTCCCGGTGTTCGAGACATCTCCAACATCAAGGACAACAAAATCAACCGGCACAACAATAGAACTAACTTTGACCAACACATCTTCAATTATGCCCTTCGGTTCCCTCAAAGTGCGATCCGCTAGTTGTAGGCACATCCGGGTCGGCTTAAGCCCTTACAATCCCAATTGCTTGTAAATAGAATAAGGCATGAGATTTATATCGGCCCCCAAGTCGAGCATCCCGGTTGTAACCTTTCCATTCCCGAACGTGATCCTCATGACAAAAGCTCCCGGGTCACACTCTTTCCGAGGTATAGTAGTCGAGGCTACCTCAGAAATCATGACTTTCTCATTATCCCCGAATCTCCTCTTTTTCGAAGCTAGATCCTTGAAAAATTGAACATATGCCGGCACGTTTTTGATAACGTCTAGTAATGGGAGATTCACGTTTACCTTCGAGAGCATGTCGAAAAGATCCTTGAATTGACGCTCCTTCTTTGTATCTTGTAAACGACTCGGGAAAGGAATCGGTGGTCGGTAGGGTGCATCCGCTTTGTGCAAAGCCTCACGGGCAACCTTCTTGGGGTTCTCCTTCTCGATCTCTTTAATACCCACATCTTTCCCTTTAGACACATCAACCTTCTCCCCCGGCTCATCATCATCCTCATCAACAACAACTTCAACTACCTCATTATCCTCGGGCATCTCAACACGATTATCAACCTTCTTACCATTCCTCAAAACCGTGATGGCATTCACGTGCTCGGGTTGGCTCGGGAGCTGTCTTTCATCTTGCTCCTTTAGATCTCCCTAATAGAAGTCCCGAGTTGCCCCATTTGAGTCTCGAGGCATTTAAGAGAGGCTTGAATCGAAGGCACTCCTTTGACGGTGTCGTGCAACGTAGAGACAGTGGAGGCCAAAGATTGAAGACACTTTTCTAAGCTTTCGATCCGAGTCTCCGAGGACTCTCCGTTGGCATTCCTCTCGGGCTCGGGTAGAGGTTGCATCGGTTGCCTCGGAATGAAACCTCCACGCCCTTGTGGATGTTCTTGAAACTCGGGCCTTGGTTGATAGCCTTGGAACTCGGGCCTCGGTTGGAATGGTAGTCGGGTGTTCGGTTGAGCATATTGTT